GTCCAAGTACTGTGGACAGGACCCGTTGTAACGGGGGACGAGGAAGGCCTTTGTTATGGCGACTTTACACAACACCTCGGTCTTGTCAGGTCCTTGCAGCTCCATCGAACTGATTCAGACATGTTTATGACAGATGCTTAACCACGTTTATTTCATATCTCCATAATGTCCACGGTTACTTAGAAACAGGATAGATGGAAACGGCTATAGTTGTCATTAAGTACGTTTGTGGTGATAAGATTAATTGATGTATCACCACTTGAGTACTGTCAGTGTCTCCAAATTGCATTCCTTATCCCTTAACTTTTCGGTTAACCCTATTTTCATCCATGCTGATTATAAATCCTCCCGTATCTCCCACGTATAACGGTCGTGCCATTTTTTACTTTAGGAATAACTACCTTCTGTAGGACCTGCCAATCGCTTTCGAGCAAAGTATACGCATTAACTTGACAGTGATTTAATTAACGTTTTATTTACCTCATCCTTTAAGAGCCGTTTTCTTCATAACTCCGAGGAACTACAATCGCGGCTTCAGGAGACTATCCAAAGTACCTTCCTGTGCATCGTGTCGTCATTAACTACTCCAGAGTCAAATAACCAGAATCATTTTGGTGCTCAAGATTTAAACGCATCTCACTTTCGTGGACGATAGACTTCTAAAAAATTCCATTCTGTTGACAGACATATCGAGACCTCACGTCTATTCTCCTTTTTCCTGCGTTTTTATGGGAATTCGCGAACCTGAGCGCACTATACTGACGTCTCGTAACCAATAACACGACTGCCTTTATAGTTTCATTCTGCGTTCAAAGCCAACCTACTCTCTTCCTTCATATCTCTGCGCACTAGTTTTCTCGCTCCAGCATTATTCTGAAAAGGGGTTGTTCACTAAACTCTGCGCGGACGTTCATCGCAGAAATATTTTTGCTGATTCCCTCTCAGTTCATCATTTTTATAAAGGCTGCTAACTAATGTTTTAAAAATAAATGACCGACGGATGTAAAAAGTCTGCTTGCTATACAATATACGATTTCTGACGTCTGCTGCATATCTGACCGCACACACAGATCACTAAAGTGCATATTGCCATTATTCTACTTCAGTTCAACATTTGCTTTGATAGTCATGCCTGCGGCTAAAAATATAAGTATTTATATATAATCTGTGGATGTCTAACGCTTACATTCAACGATAGATAGATCTCAGACGAGGATATGATAGGCGTTCTTGTGGATAAGTACACATAAAATGCCGAACATGGGTGTGTGGTGCCAGGCCTAGATACTTCTTCCCGCCGCACCAATCCCATGCACTCTTTCCAGCTTCTGTCTTTATTGGCTTGGTCAAGACAACAAGCCTGGTTAGGCGGGCAGGAGAGATTACACTAGATTCTGTTCAATTTTTCTATCACAGAAATTCAAATTCATGCGCTTTTCAACGTCCGAATGCCAAATACTTGGCGCGTACGTTGTGGACTACGTCTGAAACGACGATCATACTCTTAGTTTTTACGTGAATTAGTTTAAACTGACAGGACTTTCGCATAACAAGCATAGGGATGTGGCCCGGGTTCCGTTCAAAGGAAGTGTTAGTACGGCCATATTATGAAGTAAGATTGCAGCATGAGTCTCATACCTGAGGTGAAAATCGAGTAGTCCAGCCACTGGACAGTTTTCTAAGCCATGATTTTACGCGCATCCAGATAGACTAAGCGTGTCGGATTATTTAAGGTAGGAGGCCCGTGTCGCTTTTTTAAGAGCACTAGGCACGTGCCTCTTCGTACCCTATCTGTCAAAAAACAGTAAGTTTGTTGGTCGGAGAAACCATATAGTTTACAATAGTTAAAGGAGGACCAGAAAGATAAATCCCATATCGCTCCGGCCCATTTTGGAACATAAATCTCTCAAGGTTCATTTTGCAGCCTTCCATGACGTGAAAGTCCCGGCACTGTGCGTGCTATTACCGAAAAATTTATTAGTATCCATTAGCGTATAGCATTTTAAGGAATACTTCCGGCTGCACAATAACGTAAGGCAACTATTTAAAAGGAACTGGTTAAACAATATACTTATGTGGTCAGAAGCCCTCTTAGTGTTAATAAACGATAAGAAGTATATATAGGAACAACTTAGCAGTTTGTAGATACCACAGGTCATGAACTACTGCTCATTTTCATGAATTGTACGTTTCACTTTCCTAGGCCGTTGTTCAATGGCAAGGGTAAAGCTTTCTTGAAAAAAATCCCCCCGCCTAAGTGTCTTATGGAATTCGTGATTAAATTTTTAGTACTTTAATATTACGCGATAAGTGCACCGTAAAAAGTGAATCAAAAGCCGCTCGTAATTGTTTTACTTAAAGAAAATCGTAGTTGGAAAGAAACTCGCCAGCAGACCGAAAGCTACTGGGGCAAGCGTATTGGTTAATGAAAGAAACACGAAGACCAAGAAAACTATGAAGAAAACTCCCTTAAAAATTAGCTGGCCTATTGGTTAGTAAAGGAGGCCTATTTTCATTAGACGGCCTCACGAGAAGATCCGTCCGAATTCCGTTTTCTGAGGACTTTTGACAAGGAATGGGAAGTTTCGGAGATGCGAAAATTAATTATTTAGTGCAACTTCAATTTTAATGCCCGAGGCAATAACAACAAAATGACAGAAAAGTCAAAATAGGCCAAACTTCAGAGCAGATT